TTTTGCAGTAACAAAGACTAAATTCACTCATTTTAATCTCAAAGCTGAAGGCAATCTAATTTGAAATGATGTACGCACACGCAAGCAGCTAGATGTATATATGCCACCCTTACAACTTGTAGACACTTTTATACAGCATGGCAGTGAATCAACTGATCACGAGAGAATAATTTTGTGTGGTGATCCCGAGATGCTGAAGTTTTGGAAAAATCACATTTCTGGTTGGCCGATAGAACCTTTACAATCACTCCAAAATTGTTCTTCCAGCTACAAACAGTTAGGATCCGTTTTTCTAGATGTTATTGACTAAGCACCAAATTGCCGGCCTGAAAAACTTTTTTTAAAAGATTTCGAGCATGTTGTTCTTCAGTCATTCGCAAAAACAACAACAGCGTGCATTTACTGGGTTGCTTGTTTTCCATCTCTCAGATTTTATGAGAAAAATCAGTCAGCAGGGTCTCAAAATGACCCACTAAACAAAATGCTTTAAAAATGCTGTCTTCTATTGCATTCAAAAAAAGGTCGGCGAGTTTTCCATTCCTTCCTAGTTGAAAATTCCTATTTTAATTCTACCTAAACAGACTATTCGTCAGCTTTTTTTAAGAAGAAGTTTCCTTGCAGACTCCCGGAGAAGATATTAAATGCAAAAACTTGACTCGTGCACTATCAATTTAATCTCAGTTTAACCGCCATTTTGTTGGGATGCTAGGCTGGGACTAGGTGCTGGCAAACCCTTTAGTTTTGCGCTCATACCCCGACAATTCAAAAAAAAATGAACGAAGCTATCGGGTTATATGTTTCTTAGCTTTTTGGCATTAGAGTAACTTTTTTAAGTTTTTCGTGCGGGAAAAAGACGCATTTTTACTTCTAAGAAGGTTTAATTAAATGAGGGGAGAAACTTCCCTTCATTTACTTGAATGTTCTTTGATTACCCTTGCAATCAGTTAAGTGTGTTATTGTGAACCTTCTTCTTTTCTAACCTAACTCGCAAATGAAAGTGTTCATTAAAATTGTTCACTTTTTGGAACTTTCACTGTAGCATTGCAAATTGCATAGCAACTGTTTTCTGATTTTGTTGAGGCTAGTTTTTGGCGTATATTAAGCTGCCGTAGCTGAGTGCTTTTTGTGTGAAACTCTGAATCTCTAGCTCGAATGTACAATTCTCGAAATAAGTCGACGTTTTGCTAGTTCGAGGCTTACTTCTTAATTTATTAGTGACTTTATAGAGCTGCTTTTTGTCGTTTTTTCGCCAGTGTTTGCGAAGCAAAGTTTCCCCTTTGGGTTTAAAATTGCGCATTTTTTTCAGAAATTTTCAGCCGGCACAGAAATTTGAAGGCTCCAAAAGTCCTAAAAAAGCTGATTTATTCATTTTTTGAATTGTTTTTTTTTCAGGTTAGAGTATTGTTTAGTTTATGTTCAGCTAGTACAAATTCCGTCTTATCTTTATTTCGTTCCTTTATTTTCATTGAAAAAGATACCAAATAAAAACTTGACTCGGGCAATAGCATGTTAAACCCGGGGCAATCACTCTTTTTTCGAGATGCTAGGCCGGCAAACCCTTTAAATTTTCGTATATGTGCCAACAAACCAAAAAAGCTGAAAAGAGACAAGAATATTCTTCAAATGAAAATATTATTAAAAAACTGGATAATTCAGCTTTTTAGAGCTATTGAAAACTTTTAAATTTCTGTGCCGGCTGAAAATGTCTGGAAAACTGCGCATTTTTGAATCCAAAGGCAAAGCTTTGCTGCGCAAACACTTTCGAGAAAACGACAGAAAGAAGCTCTGAAAAATCAGAATTGAGCCTTGAATTAGCAAAACCTTGATTACTTCTGAGATTCAAACCTTCGACATACAGATTAAGAGTTTCACACAATGACCACTCAACCACGGCAGTTTAAAATATGTCAAACACTAGCCAAAACAAATTCAGAGAACAGATGCTATGCAATTTCCAATGCTACAGTAAAAGTTCCAAATGAAAGAGCAATTTTAATGAAAAAATCTATTTGCGAGAAAAAAAGGCTCAAAATAACACACTTAACTGATCGCAAGTGTAATCACAGAACATGTGAAAAAAAACGAAGGTGAACATCCTCCCCTCGTTTAATTAAACTTTCTTAGAACTGAAATTGCGTATTTTTCTAGACCTTTACAGCCCGCACGGGAGTTTTAAAAGAATGCACTAGTGCCAAAAAGAGTATCAACCAATTTTTGGGTCATTCTCCACTTTAAACATATAACTCGATAGCTTTGTGCAGTTTTTTTTTATTGTTGGCACATAAACGCATAATACCTTTTGCCGGATTCTGCAAGTAAACGTTTTTTCAACAAAAAAAAGCTGACAAAGGTAGCTGTTTAATTAGAAATAAAAAGGGAGCTTTAAAATACAAAGGAATGAAATAAAGATAAGGCGAAACTTATACTAGGTCAGCACAAACTAGTTAATGCTCTGAAAAGGGCAGATCAGTTTTGTTTTTGTAGACAGACAATGTGTTAAACTCTTCTATATCAAACGCGTCACTTTTTCTTTTGCAAGCTGCCAATTATTTTCCACATAATAGGGTGGGCTCCACTGAAAGAAGCTAGGATGCCAAAACGCCATTCTTCGACATCATTTGTTGCCCTATTAGTCACAATCATGGCCAAATCTCGCTGATTCCAAAGGGAAGGAGAGACTTAAGCTTCACGATTTGCCATTATGCTTTCTTCAGCATAATTAAGAGCCAAAGAGGCACAATTCGTCAATTTTTCTAATTTTTTTTGCGGGTATAAAACAGTTTCTGTCTCAAACCTTCTGAATTTCCTGAACGGTCGCTGGTTGCAAAGGGGTGGTGGGAAAAAGTTTCGAAAATTTCAAGCACTTCTGGGGCTGGCAAACTCTTGAGCTTCGCGTTTATGAGACAACAATTCAAAAAAACTGAACAAAGCGATCGGATTATTTTTGTAAACAGAGGCGAAGTTGCACTTCGCATATACAAGCAAAAATATGACCGATAACGCTTAAAAGAACCAAAACTTCTTAAAAGACTCACGACAATGACGAGTCGACATGAGTGCTAAGTGACGCAAGCCAAGTATGACGCATTAGCAGTACCAGTCAATTTGATTTAAAAAATTTACCTTCTATCATGCTTCAATTTATAGAGCGGACGCATTTTAGCTAGTATACAAAAAAGTTCATTAAAAACATCCGAGCCTGCCCCAGTTTCGAAACCTCTTATTTTGTTGCTGGTCTCGTTCCCTACCTCTACACTACAGATGCATGATACCTTTAAGCTAAAGTGATTTTTGTAAAATAATAGTCTGTGTTAATATTCTCAGCATTGGCTGTACTGAATCGCTGGTTATTGATCAAAATGAACTTTTTCAAAGTGAAGACATTTTGTCGCAACAATATTTGCGACTTAAGTGTAAAAAAAAGAAAGTTCGTACTATAGCACAAGCTTTGCTTGTGTAACTAGAGAATGATTCATGTATTTTTTGATTTTTTTTTGTCAAGATTCCCTTTTGAAATTTCTGTACCGAATGAAAATGTCTGGAAATCACGCAATTTTAAGTCAAAGAACGTTGAAAATGAATGAGGGCATCATTTTAACAATCCGGCTAACCTGGTACCTGGTAAAACACAAAAAAAACTTAAGCACACATGAAGTCAAAGTTCCTCCCATTGTCAATGGTCGGAACTAAAACTAAAACACATCCACAGAATACAATATTATTTCCTATTCGCGGTCAGAACAGCAAGTCATTTTTCATTTCTAAATCTGGTATACTTCCAATTTTGATTATTCGGATAAGAGGAGTTTTCAGAGTATCAGCTTCACCCGTCTTAGTGAAGAGTTTCTAAGGTATCAGGGTAATGTACTCTGAAAAACCCAGCCAGTTAAATGCTGTTTTTCAAAAATAAGGATTGTAGATATGGAAATTTTTCTTTTGCGGGTAAAGCTTGTAAATTACAAGCTAGTTTCTAACTTTTGGTATGCAGAACTTGAAATTCTTTTATTTATTTTTGGTTCCGACTATTGATAGTGGGGACTAACTTTGGCTACCCTTTTGGTTTTCCCCGCAAAACCAAAAAAAAACATCACTATGGGTCGATAGTTACATTTTGATTCCTTTTCAGTCGCGATTCAAACGACCTTCAGAAATTTATTTTCATTTGTAATTGTAATCGGGCTCGAAATTGACCTATTTAAGTTTGACCAAGAGATTTGAAACTGCAGCCTGACCATTTCAATTAAGGTACATGGCTATTCCTTGTTACTGTTTAGCGCGCTCGTTGCTTCGTATTCCGTTGAATATAAAGCAGTGATTCAGCCGATGCTCCTGCTACCGTTACTTGTCACTAATGAAATACCGCAATCAATCTTCATCGTCACGCAAACACTCGAAGCAAAGTAAACTAACCACAAACCATTTTATGTAAAAAAAAACTGTGCAAAAAAAATCTTAAACAGTTCATTGGCCTCTCCAAAGTGGAATATACCACAATGGCTGCAACTTCTAACCTTCAAACTGAGAAATCAAAAGGAAATTTTTTAAAATAACGATAACTTAATAAAGATATTTTTCGTACGCCTTATGTATCTTTTACGCACATCAAATGAATGATAAGTTCTTGCCGTGCGCGGAACATAGCGAGTAGTCACAACCCAGCACAAGCAACTGAAAACAAATGACGTCCAAAAATGGATCAAGACCTCACTTTCAGCCAAATTTTCAAAAAAAAAAAACAGACAACACGCGTTCGGTTTCATAAACGGCATGCAATCTCCAAATAGCTACTGTAGCATCTTAACCGACGGCAGAAAGGGATTTCAGATTCAGATTTTTTTCAGCGTTCTTTCAAATTTTCAAGAAAGACGAAAATATTAATGCAACAAGTTACTATAAACCCATCCGGGAGGAAATATAACATACACCTCCTCCCGTTTTCCATCTTTCACTCCGTTTTATTCTATCACGCTAAAAGAGAACATTTATAAATTAGACTTTATAATTCCCATTTCATTTATATAACTATTAATATATATTTGTACAGTTTCAAGATAACTTTTCCAGCCCACTGATCAGTTTTACAATTAGGATCATTTTCTACATGAGTCAAAATTTTTCACAAACCAGTCACAAGTTTCCTTAACGGCCTCATCGAAAGGAGTGAATTTAAAATCAGGCAAAAGTTTCACTATTTTTTCATTTGAAACCGTCTTTTTGTACTGCCCGTCCGACTTAGTTGTATCGAACTGCAAATTCTCAAACGGATAGTCGAGAGCAGAGCAAATGTTCATCACCGCGTCTCGGATTGAAATTTCGTCTTTCTCGCCGACCGAGAGAATGAGGGGCTTTTTCTCGCTGTACTCGCGAACAGTCCATATCATCAGCTTTGCCAAGTCGTGCGAGAAGATAAACTGTCTCAGTGGCTTGCCAGTGCCCATCACCTGTAGTCACAGGCAGGGTTTTGATTATCCTGGTCGCTTATTTACTCATAAACAATCTGTAATGTCGCAAAATGGGAGCTTTTTCATCAATATTCCTTTTCAATTTATTTTCAAATCAGGTGATATCAAAACCCTGCCTTGAAGTCGTTTTTGATTGGATCCTGTTTGCGCAGGTATATTTTGTGGATGAGACCTGGGATCACGTGACTGTTCTGCAAATGGAAATTGTCGTGCGGGCCAAATACATTAGTCGGAATCACACTAACAAACTGGCGCCCATACTGATCATTGTAACCTTAAAAATAATATATTCTGAAAAGAAATTTGTAAGACGACCAACAACGCTTTATCATTCAAGTTCATACATTAGCACCTTAACCTATTTTCTTCTACTCGTTTTTGAACATAAATCCAAGAAAATCATGAATCCGGTTATTATTTTTGGTCAATTAAACTTGGTCCGCTGCGTGATCTTGTAGATATAAAAAAACTCCATCATCGTCAAATTCGAAAGCTTGAGTGTTTGCTGTTATATAATATTATAAGACACACCTCGATTGAGGACCTCGACCATGCGCTTCGCATACGAGTATCCGAAGTTGGAGTCATGAGGTGGTCCGAGGTGTAGAGATGACTCATCGATTGGGTATTTGATCTTATCTGGGAAGATGCAGCTGGACAAACAGGACACCACTTTGTTGATATTAGCCTCATGTGCGGCTAGCAGAACGTTGTCGTTGATCTTCATATTGACTCGAAAAAAATCTAGATTCCGGGCTAGGTTCACGTATAGTCCTCCAACTAAAGCTGCCAAATGCAAGATATGCGTTGGTTTGTATTTGGCAATCAACTGTTTAGTGCTCTCTAAATCACTAAAACGACGCTATCAATTAAGTTGGGCAAGTACCAATTAACTCAAACTGCACATTTATGATTGAAATTTGACTTCAAAAAATCATGTCATATTTGAACTGTCAGAGATTTTCTTGACAAAATTAACTGACTTTTAAGAAATCGCATCAACATTTCAATAACACAATTTATGATTTCAAAAGGATAGAAAAAAAGTTCGCCAATACAGATCAATTTTTACAGTTCTACAAAGTTTTGTAAGATCAAAATCTTGAACAGCAAAATCTAATTTCAGGTAAGAGCGCACCAATTCATTAAAATTCAGAAAAAGAACTCACGTCAAATCAGCATCTTTGGATGTGCAAAATATCCATGTCTCCCCTTCTCTTTTCTCTCCTAAAATCAAAATCCAGAAATTAAAACCTTCGTTTCCATTTTGTTACCGCTCACTGTTCGTCAATTCCAAGAAAGAGAGACAGTGTTTGCTGAAAAGGAACGTTCATTCTACAAATAGACACAGAGGCGAAGCTTCGCATCACTTGCGATACAACACAAACATACATTATAAACATAAGAAAAAATGTGAAATGTTGAAAAAACTAGGTCTACCAAACTTTAAACTTTTTGATGTCTCGATAGACGTTCATTCTAGGCTAACATATCGGGCATTTGAATATTCGGCATATTATATTAGTTGAATATTGTATTAGCAGCGGAACAAAACTTACAATGAGGAAACAAAGCCGACAAAATCTTTCAGCAGACAAAATTTTCGCATGTCTCGATAGAAAATAATAGTTAAACATGTCAAGCAAAGTTTAAGATGTCAAAGATGTGAAGAGGAAACGAAGTCGAAAATCTTCCAGCAGAAACAAATTGCGCCAGAATTTGTGTCTGCTTACAGCCAGGCGCGGACCTAGGATTTTCTCGAGGGGGGTGGGGCGTATTTAAAAAAAAAATTTTCGAGAATTTTGTCGACCTTTTTTTAGGTCGAATAATTGGATTTTCTGAGCTCTGCCAAAAACCCTGTTTTGGCCAAATTTTCTGCGCCGCAGCCGATTTTTTTTTTAAAAAAATAGGCCAAAAAAGGCGTATTTAGGCAACTTTTAGAAAAATTTGAACAAAAAATTGGCAAAGGCGCCTTTGAAAATTTTTGGGTCTGTCAGCCAAAAATGGATATCCCAAAATCCCAAAACAGTAGAGGGGGGACCCTTTGGTTCGGCAGGGGGTCGAATCCCCGAGGGGGGTGGAGCATCCCCCCAAATTCGCTATTGCTTACAGCACAAGAGAATCCGTGTTGTGGCAAGGAATCTTCGAGCAGAAACCGGTTCAGTCGAAAAAAAAGAATTGTATTAAAAAAATTAAAAACTGTTTCAAGTCCTCCCTGAACCTAAATTGAAAAAAACTTGCACCAACAATGAAAGTTGCTTACACCACTATCAAAAACCGTGATGTGGCAACAAAGCCGAAAAAACTTGAGCAGACGCACAAAAGTCCGACAATTTAATTTTACCGAAAAAAACTTCAATTGCATACACCCCTAAAAAATACATGGTCCCGCCAGGTTTTGAGCCACTTAACTTAGAGTTCAGAAGCGACGGCAATGCCTCTAGGCCAAGTGGGAACGAAGCTGAAGGCAGTTGATTTTCAATAAAAAAGCAAGTAAGAAAAGCAAGTAAGATTTTTAGGAAAAGTTGTTTACGGTAAAAAAAAAAGTCTAGTTCCCGATTACAAGTCTCTTGCTCTCGCAAGTGTGGAAAATAAATCAACTCGTTACCGTCTAAATGCTTATACTATCTGAAAAACAAACAATTTAAAGCAAAACTGATTGCATTTTTAAAACTGGAAAAGTTTGTGAAGCTCAGGAGCATAACTTACCCAAATTTTCGATACAATGTTGTACAGCCTTGCCCACCAAACCTCCTCCACCAGTCACCAAAACAACCCTCATTTCACTCTCCGCCATTTCTCTATTTCAATTATTTACTACTACTATTATGTATTTATAACTTAAATGTTTTAAATTATTTTAGTTAACAGTAAATTTTTATAAGCATAGAAAAACAATAAGACTCAATACCACGATCAAAGTTTACTAGACGTAGACACGTCGAGGCTTGTATGCATAACCAGATTGCAATCAAAGCAGCACTGATAAAACTACTGAAATTTTCAATAGAATTGCTTGAGTGATGTTATTCAAGGATATTCTTATTTTGCGGCAGCTTAGGACACCAAAAGTCACCAGAAACATTAAAGCTCCAATAGTGCAATATGTGCAAAATACAGTTTCAATTGCTTGCCACCAACATTTTCAGTAGTACATTGAATCTGAAAAAAAAAATAAGATATAGTTACAGACCAAATAGAAAAACTCAACGTTCACAATTAGCTGAAGTAGCGTCAGTTGCAAAAAAGAAACTTAAAATTTCTTCACAAACCTGAAAAAATCCCCAGACCACAAATTACCTGATGAAAATCCGCTAAATCGAACATCAGAAAACACTTCTTAAAAAACATCAAAACCAATACAAATATTTTCAAAAAAGCCAAAACTGCCTTTTGTCAGAAAATTCAGCTAATAGAAAAGAACAAAAGTATCCCATGCCAATTCACTCCATATAGTAAATTCGCTGCCATAATAGTTTCTGTCAATGAAAAATTCCCTTATTGAAATTTACAGAAATTAGAAAGCTCGACTGGAAATTACATGGGATTACTTCTTTCTTTTGCATTTTTCAGGGTGCGGTGATTATTCCCTTTTTAAGGGAATACATCAAAATGGATGTGTATTTACAGTTTTACACGGAGACGAAGCTCCACTTCACCAAGAGAGTGGTGAAAGAGTTTAAAAAAGCGAAAAATACAAAATTAAGCAACCACTAGCAGAACGTTACAACCACAATAAGAAAAATTTTTAAACAGTTTTTTTTACTCTCCGTGGTGATGAGAGCATCTGCACAAAAACCTAGAACTTAAGCATGTTCGATAATTCTATTCAAATGGGTATGCTCGACAAGAAAAGCATTAAATTTAAAAATAACTGAACACTTTTGCAAACATTTTCCCAAGAAGGAGCTAGAAAATTAACTGGAGTATAACTTTATTAATTTCACGGCTGCAATAATTTCACTGGGATGAGCTTTCCAGCTTGAAAAGGCTTATCTGCATGTAATAAGTCTGCTCATTCGCTTTTTCGCTCAAAATTAGAAAAAAAATAGAAAACTAAAACACACCAAAAGACAAAGTTCCTTCCCGCATTTAAAGTGGTTGGAACAAAAAGCTCTGCAAATGAAAAAAAGCCGCCAAAGGGAATCGGACCCCTCCCTTCAGAGAGCAATAATCAAAGGTCTTCACATCTCATCAACACCACCTTCCTCCAATCACTATAGCTCCTTCGAAACACCTACTGGGAAAAAAATTAGGAAGAAAAACAAACTAAAATTATTTTTATAAAATAAGCAACTTTTGGAAATGAATAAAATTTAGGGAAAGGCATTAAGTGGGCATCTTAGCGTATTGACCATAACTGAAGATAATGAAAAAAAGTCGATTTATTTTTGTGTAATTCATTTTGATGTATCATATTATGTATACTGGAGAAATGAATCCTCCTTCTATTCTTCTTAAATTGTGATATAACACGCGTTTTCCAGCTTATTAAAAACTTATAGGAAAACTTGAAAATAGATTTATTTAAGCTAATAAATTTGTCGACTGACGTCTTTTTATCCGGCAACAACTCGCAAGCAAACGATTTTTTTTTGTTATTTTGATTTTTTCTCGCTGGAACGACCGTGTTAGGGAGATTCGATGCTCCTTTCTTATTATCGGGCTCTTGTTATGGTTCTGTGGGAGAAGATTTTTTTCGGAAGCATGTTTTTTTCACGTTATTTTTTTCCACGCAAAACTAAGCAGTGAAAAATATCGCCCGACGAGGTTGAATGATATCCAATTAAAACCTTTTCAGTTTGGATGTGATCAAAAACTTTTAAAAAATTGAAATTGTTAGTTTAATATTACATAAACGGTTTGAAAATGTTGCGTTTTAGGCTAAATTGCTACTAAAGCCAGGAAGTTGAGCAACTGGATGGACTCATGGATGACTGTCTAGATGGATGGCCAGACGGCATTGATCGCTTTAGTGAAGGCTGGATCAAAGACTGGCTGGTTGGATGTATAGATGGCTTGATGGACGAAAGATTGAATTGACGAGATGATGCATGGATGTATGAATGACAGGATAGATGAACGATTGAATGGCTAGATAAAAAATTGTATGATGTCTGCTAGGAGAGATGGATTTTTTCAGTGATGTCTGAGCTGATGCATGGCTGCTTTGATGGATGAATGGCTGGTTGGACGGATGGCTGGTTTAAAGGAAGACTGGTTGGTTGAATGGCTAAATAGAAGGCTGGCTGAAAGATGGCTGGTTAAATGAATTGAGGATTGGCTGGTTGAACGAAAGGCTGGTTGAATGGATTGCTAGATGAATGATTGGATTTATGAATGGATCAATGGCTAAATGCATGGATGGATCTTTAAATATATGGATGACTTGATGGATGGATGGCTAGATGGATGGATTGCTTGATGACTGAATAGATTGATGCAAGTCTGGACTGATGGCTAAATAGCTTGCTAGATTGATTTGCCGATGAATGGCTTGATGAATGGTTGGATGCCTGATTAGATGGATAGATATAACGCTAGCTGGTTGAACAGCTTGATGGATGGATCACCTGAAAAATTAGTGGCTTGATCTATGGATGATTCGACCGATGGATGGCTGGTTGAATGGATGGCTAGAGGGATGTGGTACTAAAGAATGATTCGCCTGATGACTGGTAAGATTGATGGATTGCTAGCTAGAAGGATATGTAAATGGATGGACGGTTTGTTGGATGGATGAACAGATTGCAGGATTGATGGAAAACTATATCATAGATTGGAGGCTGGTTAACAGATGAATGAACGGCAGGATGGATGGATGGATGGATGGCTAGATCGAAAGATGCTAGATGAATGGAGGGTTGTTTGGATTGATCAATGGCTAGATGTATATTCGCTCGATGGATGAATAAGTGATTGGTTCGGTTAACACATTGGAGTATTCAGGGGGCTAGACAGACGGAGGAGTCCCTGAATGTATGAATGACAGGCTAGATGAAGGATTGAATGGCTAGATAAAAAATTGTATAAAGTCAGGTTGGAGAGATTGATTTCTTGAGTAATGGCTGAGCTGATGCATGGCTGCTTTGATGGATGAATGGCTGGTTGGACGGATGACTGGTTCAAAGGAAGACTCGTTGATTGAATAGCTAGATAGAAGTCTGGCTGGAAAGATGGCTGATTAAATGAATCGACGGATGGCTGGTTGAACGAAATGCTGGTAGGATGGATTGCTAGATGAATGATTCGATTTATGAATGGATCAATGGCTGAAATCATGGATGGATCTTTAGATATATGGATGAATTGATGGATGGATGGATGTATCGCTTGATGACTGACTAGCTTGATGCATGGCTGGAATGATGGCAAAATAGCTTGCTAGATTGATTTGCCGATGAATGGCTTGATGGCTGCCTGATTAGATGGATAGATTAAACGCTAGCTGATTGGACAGCTTGATGGATGGATCACCTGAAGAATGAGTGGCTTGATCTATGGATGATTCGACGGATGGATGGCTGGTTAGAGTGACGTGGTGCTAAAGAATGAGTCGCCTGATGGCTGATAAGATCGGTGGATTGCTAGCTAGAAGGATATGTGAATGGATGAATGGCTTGTTGGATGGACCGATGGCTAAAACCAAAAACTGATGATTGTATCTGAAAACGTTGAAAGGATCTGAGCAGTCAAATTTAAAGGCCTCATCTGCAACCTCTGTAAAGAGTAACTTTCAATCACAACGACATAGGTTTGAAAACTTCAGAAAATAATTGAATCTATGCTAGCTTTTTGATTTTAAAAAAAAATTTTTAAACCAAAAATTTTGGTCTTATTCGAAAACATGATTGCAACACCCGAAAACAGAGGCAAGACTCCAGCCCCTTAAAATACCCTGACAGCACCCCACTATATCGCTGGAAATTTGAAATTCAAAAAATTAGGCTTTTAAAAACTTTTCGGCCTGGCAGCATACACGGGAAAGCTGAAACAAAAATTTAAACAGTGCAATATACGATTTTCGTAAACGTGCAAATTCATTCGTTAAACATGCAAACTGAAAAAACTAGTATGCAGTGAGATGTACTACAAGCATTTCAATATAGAAAAGAAAAATTTTATACTCAGAAAACTCAGCAATTTTTTATTTGAAACGTTTACAAAAAACTTACATTTCTATTATTGTTCATTCCTAGTATTCATAGTACCTTTTAAAAACCTAGTCAAAAATTACTACAAAATTCGATCAAATATAACCTATATCTTTTTGTGCCAACTTTGTCCGTGGTGTGCTGGGAGGATGTGAACAAAAGTAATAATTTAGGCATTTTCGACCTCTGTCGTAATTTTTGACAAGGTTTTTAAAAGGTATCATGAAATGAACAATGATAAAATAAGTTTTTTGTAAAATGTTCAAAAAAAATTGCTAAATTATGACTTTTGTTCAGATCCTCGCACCACACCACGGACAAAAACGGCACAAAAAGATTAAATTTATCCTTGCTTGAAATTTTGGTAGATAAAAAATGGGTTTTCTATTTCTTATACTTTGCGACCATAACTGTAATCAGTCAACACCACTTATAATGTTACTAATCCAGGTTTAAAACGCAAAAATTAAATTGCACGACAGAAATAAAACAAGGAAAAAAATTTCTCACAATGCGTGTTCGGAGCTTTCAGTACTACTTACAGGGCAACTGACCACACTTATTGTTCCCATCACTGATCGCAAGAGTAACACAGAGGCGAAGTTGAGCTTCGCAAACACTTTCGAGAACACGACCAAAAAGCAGCTCTATCAAGTGAAACAAGAAAAAGGAGAAATAAGCCTCGAATCAGCAAAAAACGTGAGTCTGATGCTCTGACCACTCAGCCACGGATGCTTATAATCCCCAAAAACTAGCCACTATTAAGGCAGCTACATATGCGAATAAATTGCTAATTCGATGCACCAAAAGCAGCACCAAATACAAAATGACACAATTTTGCATGAAATAAATTAGAAAACATAAAGCCAAATTATGTATGAATTATGCATTTCAAAAAAATTGCGAGATACATTGAGTAGGAAAATTTCTGAAATCGAGCTTTTTATAATGTACTGCTGTTTGAGACAAAAAACTTTTTTCGGCTCATTTTTTAGATTAAAAATGCATCTGCTGTGTTAACTTATTACTAATCAAATGTCAAAGCACATGATACGATACCGCTACCGCAGCCTACCGATTAAAAAGTGCCACCAGATAGGGGTTCAAAATTTGCTCAGCTAGAACATCTTGTCTTGGCCTTATTTCTTAAGTTAGCTGTTAGCGTGATGATCTAGCTGCTCGACCTCAAGGAATCATTCTTAGCATTAAAAAAGAATAGTAGGTTGCTGTGGAAGTAGCACAGTAAGTTCTGACCGCAATAATAAAAAAAACTTTTAAAAAAAATGTGTCGTTTCTTGTTCTTGATATGATGAGAGGATCTGAAGGAAAGCTTAGAACGAAGCGGTATCTGAATAAAAACATAAGCATATTCGATAGTATTAGTGAATTAGGCATATTGGACAAGTTTTTTTGCAAAAAAATTAATAGAAAAACCAAAATTAGGAAGAACAAAAGAAAACTTTTTTAATCTGAAAAGGAAAATATTCCCTAAAATGCGCTAAAAAACTAAAAAAGAATTTTCCACTGCTTAAGCAAAAGCTTATTGTCCTATTAATCTAAAATCCAAAATTCCAAACCGGTTTTTCTCGACACTCAAAGGGCTTGAAAACCATAGATCACTGAGCTTTTCCAATGATTAGCTCAGGTACCTGATTAAGCTCAATTAAAAAAAACTACAACATAGCCGAAGACAAAGTTCCTCTCACTTTAAGTGGTTGGAAGAAAAAACTATAATTTATTTTTTAAATCCATATAGTTCAATAGACAATTAAAAACGTTAACCCATAAGTTCTAAGGAAGGGCTTTATGATTTCTTTCAGATAAGAAACATTATTTCCCGTTACTTTTCATGTACTACCTTAATTTTGAAACCAAAGAATGGTCGTTTTTGCTGAACAAAAAAATATTTTGATCAAAAATTTCATCGCTTTCGACGAAAAGTAACCCCACGGCCATTTAAAAAGATAGAACTCGTTTTAACTTCCGGTTTGATCTCACATTATACAATCTTACATTATATATAAACGTTCTAATCAGAGACTCTATCCACCTGTATAATTTTACCTCTTCGCATTTTCGTCTATTTAGTTGGCTTTGTTGTGTAAATGAGCGGCTCATTTGCTATTCGAGCCATAAAATTACACTATGAGTGTCAACGTCGCTTCCTGAGAAGAGGTCGTTAAAAATGAAACATTCCTACTCGACATTAGTGAATGGCGTCTAAAATAAATTAGCAAAAGTTGGTGGACTTAAATGTGGCATCCATTTACACTCGGAATGCTTATCAGTAAAATGAGCACAGTTGCAGAATTTGATCAGGCTTTCTCAAAACAGAAAACGTGAAAAAAATAAACCTCTCTTTTTATTACTGTTAGTACAAAAAGAACGACTTAAAACCCATTAGGGAATTATTTTGACAGTTATTGTTCTTCCAATGGTCGCGGGAATGGACGCTCATTTTGAATCGGACCCTGAAGAAAATGGACAACATTTACACGATGGAACACAAGATCAAGCTACGTCAGCTAGCCTTATACAAGGACTTACCCTCGTTGAAACACCTAGACATTCCGCCCAGTCGCTAATTGGCTATCAGAGCCCATACAAGCTAGGCAAGTTCATATTCCCTTTATTCGTATAATGAGGGAGAAAACAAAGAAAAAACAAAGAATTACAACTAAAATTATTCCGCTCGCGGTTAACTGTCTTCAACCTAGTTATTTTCACGCCTCTTTCTTTTGTTAAATTTTTGAGTAAACTCGCATTGGCATAATTTTTGGCAATCCGGTCGTTAGATATTCCTTGGCTTGGTAGAAAAATCTTCTTTTTCACGAAAAACCTCCATTTCAAATATTTCATTATCATTAGTTCTGGTCATCAATTTAACTGTTCGAAGAAAGTAAGTTTTATTTGCTGTTGCCATCTGACAATAATTGCTCGGTCAAATCAAGAGTTTCTTTAGAACTTTATTTGAAAAATCTATTTCAACTCCCAATACCAGCGAAAATTCTTGTACTCTGATTTAAGTCTGTTGATTTATGTCTGAGCTAAGTTTAACTTGCTAGCCCGCCTTTGTTGCTCAATTTGTAAATACTTCATAAGAACGTTGACAAATAAACTCAAAAAAACTGAATCTCTATCTAGCTTAAAACTATACAAATATAGACTTTGCGCAAACTTTCTTTTCTTTTACAATCTCGAATCGGCCTTAGTTAAAATTCTTCTGAACAGCAAACTAACGAAACTTCGCCTAAATTCAAGAAAAAAGCCAAAAAAATCAAAATGGTCGCCGGAATACATGCTGATTCTGATTCGGGCGATGAAAACGCACATTTACTGCATGATGGAAGCCACGATCAAATCACAAGTGTAAACAGTACACAGGGATTGCATCGTTTAGCATCAGAAGATAGGCGAAATTCGAGTTTAACTCCGGATAACTACCAAATAGGCTAGTCAAGACGTTTAAGCATAGTTGGTGGCCCCCAGATACCGTGATAAACTGGTAATTCCGATGTCGCTAAGCTACCTTCAAAACGGCTGCATCACAAAACCATAAAAAAGACGTTTTTGATCCGACAAAACGTCCTAGTGTTGAGACAAAGGGATCGGGTCGATGCAATTTCAATATTTTTGGGAAGCTCGTAATGAATGATATATGGTATCATATTAAAGACCTTTCAATCACAATTTGGAACTAAATGATATTTCGATCAACTGGCGTGTCGAAAAAAAGCTACGATAAATTTCTTTTACTTATTACAATAGAAAAGAATTAATTCCACATTTTGATACTCATAAATAACAATAATAACGGTTTTATTCTAGTGCGCTCACGACTGGCAAAAGCACTGGACACGTATCGTGTGATCTGCCAGCAGACGACTGCAAGGCGAATGGTCTATTTTTCCTTCCACTTCATCAAATTTGGTGAAGTCGACACCAAAAACCAGACATTCAAGGCCGAAGTGAGTATTTACAGTGATTAAGAAAAAAAATTAAAAAAAGAAAAATAATGATGACTTGAAAAGCCATCAAAAAGTATGATAAAATTCGCCCTAAATACAGGAACGCATGTTTAATAACACCAAAATCAAAATTACAAACAACTTCAGATAAAACAAGGATAGCCTGTTGCTGTGCAAGTAGCACAAGAATGTTCCGATCAGATAAGAAAAAATTCAAAATTTGTTTACATACTTTTCTTCAAATTAGTGTTCTTTTTTGTGGGTGGTGTGATTCGAGAATGATACGATCGCGTAGAAAATTGGTGAAATGGGCATGATCGACATTTGTCTTCTAAAAAAAACTTAAAATCAGTTGCTAAATTATTGCACAAAAATTTTGAATTTTTCAAGAAAATCATTTTTGCCAAATCAACTCTAGATGAAACATCCAAAACTAGTTTTCTTTATAGTAAAATCAAGTTTTATCCTAAAAGTCAAAAAAATGTTAACTTCCATAAAACGCGTGTTACGCCATCGCGTTTCTCGCAAGGAATTAGACTAAATCTCAAAAATTCAAACGAGCTTTTCTCTACACTGGGAAAAATTTTGACCCAGTCCGATGATTATCTGTGGTACCTAATTTTGCGTAGAAAAAACTAAAACACACCCAAATACAAAGTTAGTTGCTCCTCATTTTCGACCTTTGGAACAACAATTTATGACAAAACTAAAATAAATAATCAAAATTTCAGGTGATAATCGAGGCGAGGTGGTATGAGCCGTTCCTTCAGAACTACACGAAGAAGGCAGACTTCGAGAACTACTCTGGGCCTCTGTGGGATCCCAAGCTTATCATCGTTAACCTAGAAGCAGTTCAAGCTGGCATCAATGAAGTAGCCGAGAGCATTAAGGTATCTAAGAACGCGCTTCTTTTAAACAGCTCAAGAAAAAATAGAAAGCATCGCCAAAAACGAAGTACTGCTGAATTATACAAATTTTGGGTGCATTGAGGTGCCTATAAACATCCATTGATGCACAAAATTTGAATAATTTGAAGCAGTGGCGGACAGCCCTCTCAGGAAATAAATTATATAACAACACAAAAACGTTTTGGTAACATTTTACGATATCATTTGAAGCTGACCTTACCTAGTAATTTTCCAAAACAAGCCATCATCATCATCATCATCATCATTGGTTTTTCACCCTTTTCTTGGATTCGAAGGTGTAGCAGGCAATAGTCGTTATGATTTGACTGCTACTGAGAAAAGCATAAAGCGCCCATCTTCTCGATAAGAACAAGATTTTTTTCTCTCATCGTAACGAATTACATAACATGCTTCAAAAAATCACAAGAAACATATTACCAAAAAAATTAAAACGAAGAGTGGACAGCTGACGAGCCCACTTGGGTTACTGGGCGCTGCCCTGTTGTGAAAGTGCATGGAACTGTAGCCTAAGTATAAGTTGCACAGAGGCATACGCCTCAATTTATAGAGCGGACGCATTTTAACTAGTAAACGAAGAAGTTCATTAAAAACATCCGACCCGGTCAATGTTCGAACCCTCTTATTTTGTTGAGAGTCTCCTTCCCTACCTCTACGCTACATATCCATGATAACTTGAAGCTAAAGTGCTGTTTGTAGCATAATACTCTGTATTAATATCCTTAGCATTAGCTGTACTTAATAGCTGGATAGCTGGTTATTGATCAAAATGAACACATCTTGTCGCAATAGTATTTGCGTCGCAACAATATTCGCGAATTAGGTTGGAAAAAAAGAGAGTTCATACTATAACACAAGCTTCGCTTGCTTAATAACGAGGAAAAAAGAAAAAACAACTAAGCCTGCAATTACTTGTTAGAGTCAAACTATTCACAGTAAGCGATCTTCAGAGCCTTAAATTGTTTATGAACTACGAAGAGTTTTTCTTTTCAAATTGAAATGGTCTAACACGAGCACAGATGAAATTATTGCTAAAAACGATTTGCGATGTTGAAACTTTGAAAACTCGCTAGTGCTGTTGTTAGTAGCTGCTCACAAACATCGTTTCATCTGCTGCTTCAACTCGCTTTCGTCGTTTGTTTTCAGTACTCCATAATCGTAAATGTGGAGATTGATTTGTTGTGTTGTCTTGTCTGTCAAACAGTGACTGTGACGATCACAGGTTTCGCTAAGACGCTAAGAGCGGAAAAGCCCCCCTATTCCAGTCCTGAGTTAACTCCCGTTCTATGGGAGCAGTTTTTGATACGGAGAACCGAGCGAAACTCCCATGCCCATTTTTTAATCAGAGACGGCCAATTTTTAATCAGAGCAGAGAACCGAGAAAAAATCCTGCTGAGTAAAGTTTTTGGGGGAAACCAGCAAAATCCCTCCTGTCCAGATTATATATTTGAAGCCAGTTGGCGACTTCGACAAGTTGATCCTACAGGTAGTCTAATGTAAGTGTTTATGGTTTAACCAGACAGTTAAAAAGGCGAAATACGTCATGAGGACTATAAAAACAGTTAGGACTGATGTTATTGATGTCTTTATTGATTCTTCATAAGTAGCTGTTGAGATTAGTGCTTTATCCGCAGCGCAGCTGAACAAGAAGGCACCTAGTACGACGAGTAAGGCGACATGGATATTCGTTAGATATGCCACATGGATATTCGTTGATTCCGTTAGTTTTGCAGGGTTATTGTTTATACCGTTATCAACTTCCGTCCGGCAAGCTTGTAATCTGAAGGTGAGAGAGATTTATCTTTGTCGAGGTGTTTTATTTCATTGTAGTTTTTTACAGCCGGACTGTTTCAACTTTTTGGATTTTTAGTTTAGACGAATAGTGCGATAGGCAGCTCTGTATGGTTGGTGCTCCGCCTAAGAATTGATTGCACAGCATGTCATTGAGAGCTTTTACTGGCGAGATTTCGGTTGCGCAATGAAGGTGCTCAATAGGGCTCATTTTATTGCAGCCAGTTGCAAATCTTAGAGCTCTATTTTGCTGAATCTGGTGGTCATTTCTTCTGGTGTTGCTAAGCGAGTGCCACCAGACTGGAGCTGCATTATTCAGAACACTGCGCCCAATGGCTTTAAAAGTAACACAAAGTGTTTCTTTACTGCAACCCTAGTTCGTACCATAAGAGTTTGAAAACTCAAAAGTCGTAGCACCTAATAGCCGGTTTAAATACAAAACTTGAGCTTGCTGACTTAGCATTTACTGTCTCTACTAACTGTGCAATCCCCTAGAGCCCCATAAAACCAATAGGGCTGATTGAGGGCTAAATGGTCAGTAGGCACCTAACTGAGCCAATACAGCACTTACCAGTGAACAGTGATACAAGAATAATCGTCTTGCGTGGCCGCAGTCCGGTGAATGTTTGATAATTTTTCAATATGCCACCGGTCACGATTCAGAGAATCAGTGGATAGTCAGCTGAGGCAAAGCATTGCTCACTAAATATATTTAAAAAATAAAATTAAAAAAAAAGATTTCATTGCGGTCAAACAATTGCATATCAGAAATCTCGAGCAACTTGACAGATAACCTCAGGGTGCGGATGTGATCAAATTAATGATAAAACAATTTTATTGAGAACTTCATTGTTTCAACAAATGGTATGACGTAATTCTCTTTACCTCGGCTAATTGTAGTGATTTTGCTTTTTCGTTCACAAAAAACGTGATCGACTTTCAATTTAAAAAATAGACTTATATAATCAGATTTCCCCAGCAAAATTTTTTGAAACCTTTCGATTCCGTTTTCTCTAATTGCATTCTATCAAAAAAGTATCAATTAAAAATTGCCTTAGAAATGCAGTACTTAAGGCCATCTATTTGTTTCTAGGAAACAAAAGTAAGCTTTTTTTCAAAAAAAAACAAGACACTATTTTTTTTCTGTTCACAGGCGCTCATTGGCTCTTTTTCAACTGTCTGTTCGCTATGTTAACTAGCTATGTTAACTAGCGATAACTGCTTATTTGAATTTGAAGACCCCTCAACGAAATGATTCATTTAAATTATTCACGAGAGTATGATACCAGCAATTACAAATACATTGAATGTGTTGTTTTCAGGGGGTTATAAGTATGCGCTAATTTAAAGTTACAGGAGGAACCTGTTTCGTTCAAAATTAGTGACCAAAAAAATGCAATACAGAGGCGAAGCTTCGCATTGCAAACACTAGCGAGATAACGACAAAAAGCAGCTCTATAAAGTGCAATAACAAAAAATAGAAATCAGCCTCAAACTTGTTAAAATTCGGTTACGTCTCGGATTCGATCAGCAGCTGAGGATTCCAAAGCTAGATCGTGATTAAATCAAAAGTGCCACCAAATAAGTGAACATTTTTTGTTTTCAATAAACATTTTTACCCACGAGTTAGGTTAGAGAAAGAAGGTTTGTAAAAATGCACTACATTAATCATTATGTAAAAAACGTCCAAAACGCAATTTTCGGAAAAGTTTCCCGAATTTTTTTGACCTTCAAACATCAATCATCATCCCCCAAGTAAAAACCCTGAATTCTCCCATGAATTAAAACCTGCACCAAAACTGTCGCCTATTACATCTTGCCAGCTGTATTTTGTTCGGATGTTGAACACGGAGCATTAGTTCAGTGCTTACAAACCCTTAAAGATCTAAGGGGTTTGATACACAGGCATTTTTGATGGATAGGTCGGAAGTATGTCGAACTAAGTATAAATTCGTTTGATATCATGCTCGAGTAATTAAGAGTCATGAGTGTAGTGAATACTGTTATATAGGTGTTGGTGAAATTTTTTTTTTTAGGAAAAAGTCTTAAAATTTGTTCACATTAAAATTTGATTTTAAGCGGTTTGACTTTTGAAGTACAGTTCATTTGAACTTGAATTTTGAAGTTACATTTCCTTCATTAAAAAGCAAGTAACCTTCACTATCGAACACCGAAAGTGTAAGGTCTTGAAAAACGTCTAGATTCAAAATTACGATTTCATTTGCAAATTTCCCAGCGGAACAAAAGTTTTACCTATTGATTAGTTTTTTCTAAATTGAGCTTATTTTGTTAAGAGTAATGAACGTACTGATATATAGTTCTTGCTGATTTTTTTTTGTTTTTGTTTTTTCAGGAAAAATCTCTAAAACCTACAGATGTGAATTCATATATAAATTGATGCATTTATGAATGCACTTAGGTATAATGCACTTTTTAGTTTCAATTGAAAATCATTGCTGAAAGTGACGGAAATAGCACTCTTCAAATACAAATGTTAAAATAGCGCAACGAACTATTTTCTAAAGTGGAATTTAATTCTTAGATTTCCAGTGAAATAAAAACTTTACCTATTGATCCAGTTTTCTCTAGTAGGGTTCATGTTATCAAAAAGCGCTACTCATAAATCGCTCTAGAAATTTTAAGAGCTTAAAGGGCATCAATTTTTTTCTTTGAAATTCGAAAGTTGATATTTTTTCAAGAAAGTCTGTGTTTTTTATGTTTATTTGCATTTATTACTCTTTTCCAATCTTCGATTGGCTATTCAAGAAAGTGTCAATCAGAAATTGTGCTAGAACTTCAAAGAGATTTAAGACCATTTATATTTATTAGGTCAGTATTTTCTTCTGTTTCTTTGCGTTCATGACTTTTTTCCAACCGTCTGATGGCTATGTTTCATCTGACATGCTCAAAACTATAGCAGTTTGTACTCGGACGTTTCTGTAGATTGACAGTATGGGTGAGCCGTATATACACCACACTAGGAGGGTGCGAGGGGTGTTCTTCGAAAAAATGGAGCTGTTCGAGTTCCCCCGGGATGTGCAAGACCTCAGTGTTACAGTCATGTCAGAACTGTCCTCAGGTGAGTTAAAAAAAACTGCAGGATCTCTTTCAGTTTGCGGATTTGTTTTGGCATTACTGTTATTTATCGTTTTTATTCATATAAATACAAGCCATAATCACAAGATGTAACCCTTGTTAAAAAAATTAGCGATTAATTGTGAATTTTTCAGAAGAGATAGAACTGATGGAGGACGTAGTACTTCCCTCCAGTATCAAAAAAGAGATGTTTATGGACGAGAACAACTTCTCCCTGTTTGATCACGTGCAGATCCTGCCCGGAGTGATCCCAGACCCCACCAAACAGACCAACTTCTCCGTGCCCATCATCAGCGCCACCTGCAGAGTAGCCAGAAACCCCATGTTTTTCATCTGGAACAATTACCTCATCATGACATGCCTGGTCTTCATCAGTCTCTCTACATTCGCTATCGAGCCCAAAGATGTCAGTGAATATGAGAAATTAGCAATCTCTCATCAAACAATTTTCCCTGAACCTTCACATATACTTATCAGCCCTTAACCAGTAAAAGGAATCGAATCAAGTCAAATATATCAAACATCCGGATGAAATCAGTGATTCAAAACTTTCGTTAAAAAGATCAGCTCCGCTTACGGAAAAAGCAGTGTTATAAATTTAAGAGCCAAAACTTATCGACATAATTACGTTCCGTGTTATCATATTTCTCTCATCGAACTTCACTATAACTTTTAGGTCAAATACCGCCTGACAGTAATCCTAACCATCCTTTTGACATCGGTGACCTTCAAACTATCGACTGCAGGCAAGCTGCCTATGATCTCATACAATACCATGCTGGACCTGTACATACTCATCAGCATGCTCATCCTAGTCGGCATCACCGTCGAGATCTCTATTCTGAGTATTTGGAAGGCGGAACCCATCGCACACGAGCTGGACAAGTGGTCTGTGCTCATCATCGGCATAGGACTGTTGGTATTCCACCTGGTCTACTGGGTGAGTATCAAGTCAATAATCCAAATAGACTTTCAAGAAATTGGCCACCCGGGTTTGATGAAGCACCAACCGGATTTGATGAAAGCGGAAAGTCAAAAACAAGCACCATTGAACTCCCCAAGCTAAAGTTGAAATTACAACAGGATTTATACTTCACCTACAAAAAAGGAAATCAGTCAAAAGACAAGACGTTTAACTAGTTCCAAACAACTGGTGCTTTTTTACTGGTCTTTTACAAAATAATTCTGATGGACAGTAGCGGATTTAGGTCCCCCCTTTGAACTTTTTTGAGATATCCATTTTTGGCTGACCGGCCTTAAAATTTTTCTCAAGGCGCCTTTGGCGCCAATCTATACTAATTTTGAGGTGGGAGCGCGCAACGAAGAAACGCGATTTTTTTGTCGAAATTTTCCAAAAGGTGACTGAAAAAGCCTTTTTTGGACCTTTTTCAAAAACTTGCCTGCGGCGCAGAAAATTTTGTTATATTAGTGTCTTTATAGCGGTTTGGGAGAGCTCAGAAAATCAATTTTGTCGACTTAAAAAAAAGGTCGACAAAATTTTCAAAGATATCAGCTCCGCGTTTTGAAAATCCGCCTCCTCCTCGAGAAATTCCTAGATCCGCGCCTGCTGACAGACAAGCCCTAAATATTTAGAGAATTTCTTGTGAATAAACAATGTGAAGTAAAATTAGATTTAAAAATTTATTGAAATTACAACAAAAAATTATTCGTCTTTGAGAAAAGCTTATTTTGAAGCGGCAACATGGACTTAAACATTTTCATAGCTCTAAATGAAAAAAAAAACGTGTTTAGATATGGTTCCTCAGCGTTACATCACGACGTCATAAAAAGATAGAACGATTGGTGCAACAGTCTGAAGAGGCCCAGGGCGGCAGCAGCCGACGCAAGGGGGGCTTCGAGAGAAAGGGATTCCTCAAGTGCATGAAAGTTCATCAGGGTCTGGAATACGTGCGAGAATTCCAGGGCGACCGGATCCCATACGTCGGAAGTTACACTCACACTGAAGATGAAACCCTTGGAATAAAAGAGAACTCAACTCCCGCAAAGTCGAAAAAAGTTGAAAAAGAGACGAGAGATGACGAAAATATTTGAAAATACCTAAAATTAGACTCCGAAAGTTCTTACAGAACAATTATAATGAGTAGAATACCTTGTGTAAGTAGCATCATTGTCATTCCTGTTATCGACATTCTTCCCTCTATTTAGGAGATAAAAATCCTGCTCTGAGTATATTCTAAAACAAGTTGATTTGAAAATATATTGAATCATTAATGCATGATCACTATATAACCGGAAAGTAGTAATAAAACTTGATTTCTACCAAACTGCAAAGGATATCTTATATAAAGGACATTTTACAAACTAAACGAATCAAAAATAACTATTTCGCATTTGTTTGGGTTGTGCACTATTATCAATATAATACTATCGATAGAACGCATTCATAAAGAGGCAATTGAGACTTGAGAAATTTTCAAAATTCGAAGAAAAAACAATCACGTTTAAGCAGCGTTTTGAATTTCAAAAAATTTTTGTGATTGGCATTTTTTAAAAACATTATCCCATTTAGAAAAAACTGGATCAGTAAACAATTTAAAATTTCGCTGAGAAATCAGACAAAATTCCATTTTTGAAATACGATTTCATTCACCTTTTTGTGACCGTAACACTTTTGCTGTTCGAGAGTGAAGTTTGCCGTTCTTATATCAAAGGAATTGAAGTGAACCTAGAAAGAAATCAAAAATCACATTTGAGCGAGAAGACTTTCCTGAAAAAACATCTTACAATCCTCCTTCATGTAATAGTGTTATTAAATATGAGCCAAGATCAAAGAATATCCATGTAACCTGGCTTTCTGGTCGAAATCTTGCAAAATCAATGCAAGATATCCATGCTACTTTCTGAAATCCACGGGTTTTTTTACACTAGCAAATATGTGTTTGTCAATGTTAGAGAAACAACTTTTTGTCAAGAGCTACAGAAGAAAGCATGGAAAAATTGAAAAACTGAAAAAATATTCAAAACTTTAAAAATACTGACAATTGCTACAAACAAACGAGTTTGTTTTAAAACTAATTTTACAATATTTGCAGGTATTTTCATCTACTTGAGAAGAATATTTGTCACTTTTCGCAAGTGAAATGCATTATCTAAGTTTCAGTCGCTCCGCAAAAATTCAGAACTCTCCAATTTTGTCTGTACGTTACCGTGATTAGCATCCTAAATCATTGTTTTGTAGAGCAGAATGCTTAACTTTATTGAAAAAATGATGTGCAGGATTGATTTTTCGATTTTTTCAAACCTAATTTGAAAAAAGTCACTTTGTGCGTTCCTACCTGTATCTCACAAATTTCTGTGAGCTGGAAAAAATTGCATCTCATTAAACTCATCGTGAAGGTTCAAAATCTCAAAATAAATTATTAAAACGGTTTATGACTAGTTTATTAGACAACTGTTTTTAGTGCAAATGCCGCCTGCGTCTCAGTATATGCCTCATCAGCCATAGAGTCATATCGCCTACCCCATCAGATTATCAGTAAGTTTCAAAAGCTCAAATCTCAAATACATTACTAAAAGAATTTATGACTACATTTTTTAAGAAAACTGTTTTTAGTGCAAATGCCGCCGTAGTGCGTCTCAGTATATGCCGCATCAACCATAGAGTCATATCGCCTACCCCATCAGATTATCAGTAAGTTTCAAAAGCTCAAATCTCAAATACATTACTAAAAGAATTTATGACTAGATTTTTTAAGAAAACTGTTTTAAGTGCAAATGCCGCCGTAGTGCGTCTCAGTATATGCCGCATCAACCATAGAGTCATATCGCTTACCCCATCAGATTATCAGTATGTTTCAAAATCTCAAACTTCAAACTATATAACTAAAATGGTTTACGACTAGTTTATTAGAAAACTATTTTTAGTGCAAATACCGCGCAGTGCGTCTCAGTATATGCCTCATCAGCCATAGAGTCATATCGCCTACCCCATCAGATTATCAGTAAGTTTCAAAAGCTCAAATCTCAAATACATTACTAAAAGAATTTATGACTACATTTTTTAAGAAAACTGTTTTTAGTGCAAATGCCGCCGTAGTGCGTCTCAGTATATGCCGCATCAACCATAGAGTCATATCGCCAACCCCATCAGATTATCAGTAAGTTTCAAAAGCTCAAATCTCAAACATATTACTAAAACAATTTATGACTAGATTTTTATTAGAAAACTGTTTTTTAGTGCAAATGCCGCCGTAGTGCGTCTCAGTATGCCTCATCATCCACAGAGTCATATCGCCCACCCCATCAGATTATCAGTATGTTTCAAAATCTCAAACATCAAAACATATTACTAAATTGTTCTATGACCAGTTTATTAGAAAACTGTTTTTTAGTGCAAACAATCGACCTTAGTACGCAATTGCACAGCTCTGTTTCCGTCTCAAATCGCCGTCTCTGGTGCTACATCAAATGCTACATCAAAAGCTCAGTCAGATTCCTCTCTAAGACCCTCATTTTATCAGTATGATTATCAGAGTCACTGAATTACAGTCAATCAACATCTGTTTCTTTCTCGATCTAAAACTGTAGATTTAGTTATCTTTTACTTTATTGCCTCATAGTTATCTCTATTGCCTCATCTGATTAACTTTACTGCTTATTTTATTGGTGCTACAAAGTAGTTTAAGCTAGATAAATTTCAAATTATAAATCATAGTTATGGAATTAAAATTCCCAAGTATTTCTTTTTGACTTGAGAAAATTGGCTCCACTAAAGCTAATTGTTATTGTTTTTCGAATCCACTCGTGTAATCTTAATTATGCGCCCAAATGATTAAAATTTTGGCTGTATAAATTAACCAAGGATAGATGCTTACACTCAAAACGGGCTCATGGCGATCGAAATGTGGTGGTCTTCTCCTTTCTTAAAAACTTTAGAAATTTATCTTCAATCCTCATTTTATTAACTCACTGTTCATACCTCCTTTTCCCTTCTATAATTATGTCAGAATTTGCCGGTCCAATATCAGAATTTCCTGGGGTTTCAATTGATCGCTTCAATGGTGAGAACCTCAAATCTACGGTTTATTTTCTTTCGCACTGTCATACAGATCACATGGTGGGCCTTAATGAGCCTGAGCTCATCGAAAAGTTAAAACATTATAACTCGAAAATTTATTGTCATAGAGTTTCGGCTGCTTTGTTGAGTGCATTGCCGCTTTGTGTTCATTTAACTCCATTTATAGTACATCTGGATTCAGATAATGAGACAACATTGAATGTTTCTTTGGAAGGGGACGAGACTCATACGCTAACTGTCACTCTTATTCCTGCAGGTCACTGTCCAGGTTCAGTAATGTTCCTACTAGTTTCCAAAGAAAAATCTGTCCTTTTTACTGGCGATTTCAGATGGCAAGTTCGTCATACGAAGCGAATCAATCATCTTTTCGACAATTTACAAGAAGCTGCTGTTCATAATTTTGATAATATTTACATCAACTACAAGAAGCTGCTGTTCATAATTTTGATCATATTTACATCAACACAACGTTTTGCAAATCAGATTCCAATTTCATACCTTGTAGGGAGAGCTGTCTTTCAGCCATCTTTCACGCCGTGTCCGCATGGCTCTGTTCAATTCAAAATATGTGGTCGATTTTTGTAATAAAACTCGCTACGGTTATGAGTTTTTAATGAAAGCGCTTGCACTTAGATTCAACACTAAAGTTCATGTTTCATTATGTCAGTATAAACTGTACAAATTTGTTCCGTCGATTCAAAATTGGCTCACCTTAGATGGCGAAAGTACCAATATCCATTTCTGCAAGCCGTTGTATGCGTCTGCGAACTTAAAATTGCCTTGCAAGCCGGGAATCCCAAAACAGAAGTGCTTACAATCACTCCAACTGCAATGTTTTTTCTTCACTAAAAACGAGATAATGCCTGGGAGATTGGTTAAAGCAGTGTCTGAGAGAACCATTCGGTGCTGTTATTCTTCGCACTCTTCAGCTGACGAAATAATTGATTTATTTCGAGTCTGCAGTTCGGAAGTATTACACCCTTCGTTTGTCCGGATAAAGATACTCCACTTGACTCTGTGAAAGCTTTTATTTTAAATACGCTCAAACATCAGAATCCAAACACGTCAAACGATTCGAGTACAAAGTTGAGGAAAGAGTAAATTAAATTCAATAACAGAGGTAAACGCAAACCTTATCTGGAGAAAATTTCAGCGAACACACCAGACTACGAATACCATAGTGAGCCATTAAGACAACAACGACGCTTTGTCGAAGGAGGAATTTTCAAGGGAAAGGATTCAGAAACAGCCAAAACAGCCGAGCAGACAAATATTTCAACAAAAACACCAGACTACGAATACCACAGTGAGCCATTAAGACAATACAGACGTTTTGTCGAAAGTGGAGGTTTCGAGGAAAAGGATTCAGAAAAAAAACAAAAACTGGTCCAATTGCTCAACAATATTTAAAAACAATATTTTACTTTTCGCGCTGTATTTTTAGTTACGGCTTGTATAAGTTTTTCTTTTCAGTTTTAATTAAACGAGGTTTTCAGAGGACATTTCAGTTCAGCTTTCAAAAAATACAATCGAGCCGTCCTATATCTCGTCTCAAATGCTGATGAGTGCGATGATAATTTCTGAACCAACTGAGCCATCTCATCTCAAATACTGATGAGTGCGATGATAATTTCTGAGCCAACTGAACCATCTCATCTCAAATACTGATGAGTGCGATGATAATTTCTGAACCATCTCATCTCAAATAGTGATGAGTGACTTAGCTGTCATTTCAAACTGAACCATCTCATCTCAAATACTGATGATGATTTCTTACGCATAACTAAACCATCTCATCTCAAATACTGATGAGTGACTTAACTGCCCCCATTTCAAACATGAATTGTCATTTCAAACCCTGAACAGCCATTTCAAACCAAAACGAAAGATTTGACATCCGCATAGTTAACCAATGTTTTAAGATTGGTTTGTGGATTCCGCTGACAAATGGATGTCCTTTTGCGTTCAAATTGCGCGTTCCTATAGATAATAAATCAAATTTTCCACCTCTAGTTTTTAATTGTTCATATGCAAGTTCAGTAATAAACAAAAATGAGGAATCCACTTACAATTTGCGGAATCCGCTTACATTTGCGGATTCCGCATACAAATTTTGCGGATTCCACTTACATTTGCGGATTCTACGTACATTTTGCGGAATCCACATACAGTTGCGGAATCCAGAACAACTAGCTATATTTGCTTAATGCGGAATCCGCAACAAAACAAATGTGCCGACAAACTTTACGTTACAGGTATACGTATGCGGAATCCACTGAAATGTTGTTTGTGGAATCCACTTACAGTTTGGAACATATTTTGAGACTTGTCTCTGGAATCCAGGAACATACAGACAAAATTGCACTCCTATCCAGTGCACAGTTTGGCCTCGTAATGGTTCAATTTCTATTTTTCAAGACGATTTTCGTTGATATGAATAGCTCATTATATAAATCAAATGTACATATCAAATGTGGTTATTAAAATAATTTAGTCCTGAAATTTAACCAGAAAAAAGCATTTAATTCACGAGCAGTAGCACTACAACGGTAATCAAATAAAAGTGATGAACAGCTTGTATTTTGTTCCTTTCTTTCGTGTATAAATATTTTAGTTCAGTGCCAACCGAAACAAAAACTTACAGCAATTAAAATTGGTCCGTGGACAGGGATAGCAGATAGATGTCACTTTTCAAGCAAGTTTGCTAGACTGGTCGCATTCCAACTATACTTCGCAACTGTTCGAAAATGAGGAAGGTTACTATGGTATGAGGTCCAATGCGCATCCAGTTGGGGATGAAGCCCTTGTAGAGTCCCAAAACACCTTCAGCAGAAAAACTCTTCATCACACAGTCCAAACTAGAAGTGTACACTCCACCTGAAGAACAATAACTGCTGATACTCAGCTGATAATGAAAATATTTCAGACCTTAGTGAGATACTGAGTCTCACATAACAAAATAATATGCGACAAAACATCTAAAGCACCCAAAGTTAATCTTCCAGATGGTGTTCGGCGAATCAGTTCACAGCTGCTTTATACGATAATTAGTTCCACCGAACTACGATGGTGGCGTCCCTCATGCTTGAAGGACCGAATGCTTGAAATTAATTTTAGTTTACTTTCAGCCAATCAGAATTGAGTATTCAAAATCTTAAAGTAAATCGTGAAAATCTCAAAGTCAGAAAATAAATCCAGGCCATTAGTGTTAATACTGATCGATAAGATAATAAGCAGATGACTTTTCAAGATTGAAAAATTCTTATGAACTTGAACTCATAAATCTGGATGTTTATCTGAATAGTATTGCGGTTTTAACCCGCAATTTGTAATATTTTTGATTATTTTCCAGTGATTTAAAACATTTTCTGTTAGTATTGACTTCGATTTTGTGAGAAAGGCATTTAGCCAATAGGAACGCTTAGCGATTTTGATTGGTTGAAAGTTTTCAAGCATTCGGTCCTTCAAGCATGAGAACCCTCCCCAACTACGATAACTAAATGAGAACAAACCAAAACAAGACAAACCTATTAGCCATTTAAATTTCAGATTTGCGAACGTTCAGTAAGATCAAGAGATCAACCAAATGACTGCGAAAACATTTATTCTTGCTTGATCTTTTAATGACCCGAGGTCACTATTTACCCAGTGCATATTAAAGGCTATTCAGTCATAATGAGTGAGACACTTTGCCCTAAGACTATTCAGACAAATATGAAGTTTTAAATGTGTGCACAAGGTTTTTTCACAAGCGGCAAAACATCAAAAATTTATTTAGACGACTTATAATTGGTTCCTTCCAAAATCACATGAAACAAATCAGTTTAACAGAGCCAAAAGTAACCTAATACGATATAATCTTATAAAACCAAATCTTATAAAACCAAAGAATCTTATAAAACCAATTTTAGCATAGTGGCTGAATAAAAATCTAACTCGGAGAAAACTCACACAGTACTTAAAAGTTTCAAGTGCGCAGAATACTCCTGGAATTTGTAAAGAAAACACTTTCCGAATCCTTCTAAGAAACATGATAAAAATCAAAAAACAGCGAAAAATAGACAAAACTTCTTGGAACCCAATTACTTGCAGAAAAACCAAATACACTGACACTAATTTTCTTAAAATTTTAGTTAAAAAAAGCCTAAATTTTAAACATTTGGTACTTCGAAAACCAAGCCGACAAAAAGCAAACAGAGTTCCGACAAAATTTTTTTGATGAGCGGACAATTTACACGTACAAAAAAACAGGTTCTGACCGGAGTGGCACCATTGACCTTTATCTTTCTAGCCAGATGGGTTATTTCTTCACGACATGCCCGAAAAAAGTCTGACTTTTGATTTCTTATGAACCAAAAGTTAAATGGTTCAAGTGATTCTGATAAACTAGTTGTTAACCCGAAAAAAAGTTTCTCCGATTTGATAACGCTTGCTAATGGCAAATCTAATGAAAGCAGATCGGAAATTGAAGATTTTACAGGTGTTCAAAAAAGTTATCGAAAACACACTTTACACTTGGTGTACGCTCTGCTGCACAACAAGATTCAAAACACCTATCCAAAACTTACCGGCATTATAGCATTTGGGAAAAAAGTTACAATGAAATTTGATGCTGCTGTTCGTAACGACAAAGAAAACGCAGCCTGACAACGAGGTTAAATTCTCTTTTTTCCACTTAGGCCAGACTGTTTGCCGCAATATACAAAAACTAGGCTTTTCGCGCAAGTACATGGACGATAATTTTCGCCAAAAAGTAAAAAAAACTATTTGCTCAGCATTCGTTCCTACTTTATATTGATGCTGTACCTTTATAGTGGTGCCTGTCAAGAAAAACGGATCATGAAGAAACTTGACGTTAGTGATTGGAACGCTTTTAATCGGTCTCAGCGGAGAATCTCGCACAAATGATGCATTGGAGACATGGAATGGCAGCTTAAATAAATTTTTATCGCACAAATCCTTTTCAAGCTCATCGCACGTTTTGACACAGCGGCGATGCTTCGTTTCGGAAACACTAGCGAGAGCACGTCAAAAAGCAGCTCTATAAGTTGAACAAGAAAAAATGAATAAGCCTCGAATTAGTAAATAAAAATCGGCTACGTCTCGGATTCGAACCTATGACCTACTTCGACCTAGATATTACTAGTGTTACACACTAACCATTCAGCCACGGACGCTTAAATAGTGAAAAATACTAGCCGCAAATGAAGCAGAGAGCAGAAGCAAGTCAATTTTAGAGCTACACTGATATTTCCATTTAAGTGAACACCTTCAATTAACACTTTTATTTGCAAGTTAGGTTTTAAAAAAAAGGAAAGTTTGTACTCAAAAACTACCGCTAGCATGCGCGCAAGTGTCAAGATAAACAAAAAGACCGAAATCAATTCAGAGAGGCTGATGGCTTGTGATATTTTCAGAAAGTCAAAACCCATATATTAATCGCCAATGAGAAGCTCGTGCAAAACGCAAGCAACTATAATCGAAACCATATCCAGATTTATGTAACACTGTGTACTTTTTACTTTAAAGGTTCCTAAGATCAGTTTGAATAATACACAGTATCAAGAACACGAAAAACAAACACTAGCAAGAACACAAAAAGCAGCCCTAGAAAGTACAATAAGAAAAAATATAAATAAGCCTCGAATTGACAAAAATTCGGCTAGGTCTAGGATTCGAGAGGGATCTACTGCAATCAAAAGATTTTGAGTCTCGCGCAGTAACTACTCAGCTACGCAGGCTTAACAAACGACTAGTCAGGAACAAAGCAGCTACATATGTTAATAAAATGCCAATGCCATTCAGCCACCGAATACAAAAAGTAATACTTTGACATATAAAAAACTTACTTTTGCATGTATTAAAATGGAAAGCATCAAGCCATATTTAGTAAAAACTAGCGCATGACTCGCACCAACGGTGCTTCAAATAGCTCGTTCAAGGTAGAAAAAACTTCCTTATCATGTACTAAAACAGCGATATCTAATGCGACTGTGAAGATAATCTGGGCTCATCTATGAGGGGATTCTATTTCATATAAAAAGCCATATCTTCGAAACCGGAATGAGATGAGCAGATGAAATTAGAGGCCAGATTTACTACCCTATACTCTTCACTGACATAGGGGGGTTAAAAATTTCAACTTCTATTAGTTGCTTTTAAATCTAAGTTTTTTTGAAAAAGTATTTGAAAAAAAAAAAAAAAAGTATATTTCGGAAACTAAAAAAGAACTGAACAGTAAAAGTTAACTGCCAGATTTGTACACTGACCGTAGCCCCTGAATGTACCCTGACAGAACTCCACCATTAGGGTTGAAAATTTCAAGATCGGTTAGTTTTTTTAATTCAATTAACTTGAAAAAAAGCTGAAAAATCGTTGAAATTGTCACATCTCGGAAAACAAAGGAAATTGAGCAATCAAAATTAGAGGGCAGATTTCCAACGCTGATCTGTAACTGACAGGAACCCGCGTTAGATATATGAATTTCAAGCTCTGTTAGCTTGTTTTTATATCTAAGTTTTTTGAAAAAAAAATTGAAAAAAAAATCGTTTAACCGCCACATCTCTGAAACAAAAAGATATGAGCAGGCATGTTTAGAGAGAACAATTGCAACACATGAGTGTACCCTGACAGCACTTCATCATAAGATGGAGAATTTGAAGTTCTGTTAATTTTTTATATCTAAAACTAAAAAATAAGATAAAATCATAAGAAACACATCTCGGAAACCAAATGAATTTGAAGTGTCAAACTTGGATTTCAGATTTGCAACCCCTAAGTGTACTCTGACAGCACCCCACTAAATGGTTGAAAACCTAAAGATCGGTTTTTTGATACCAGTTTTTTTTTAAATCATAAATATAATACATCTCGAAAACCGAAAGAATTTGAGCAGTCATACCTAGACATCCGATTTTCAAACCCTGAATTTAGTTGACAGCGCCCCACTATAGGGTTGAGAAATGTCAGTTAGGTCAATTTTGAACAAAAAAATAGAAAAAATCATAAAAAAGGCCATCTCTCGAAAACCAAAAGGATTTGAGCGGTTAAATTTGGACACTAGGTTTGCAGACCTTGAGTGTACCTTGATAGCAGCCCACTTTAGGGTTGAGAGAGAAAATCAAGTTCTGTTATTTCTTAATATCTTAAATTTCTTGAAAAAAATGAAGAACTCATAAAAACGCCATATCTCGCAAACCATAAGGATTTGAGCAGTCATACTTGGACACCAGATTTACAACTCCTGAGTGTACCCTGACGTCACCCACTACAGATTTGATAACTCCAACTTCGGTTATTTTTTTGTATCCATTTTTTTTGGAAAAAAAAATGAAAAAATTATTTAAAAAAAACGTATATCTCGAAAACTAAAAAGATTTGAGAATTCATACTAGGACGCCAGATTTGCAACTCCTGAATTTACCCTGCCAGCTCCCCACTATAAGGTTCATAAAATCAAAATAAGGTCAGTAAATTGTGAAACAAAATTTTTGATAGTTAAACGTTGCGAATATAGGAAAAAATGTAAGAGTCAAAGCATTCGCGCTCCAACAGATTTTGAAACGCTGACTTGATTAAACTTTTAAACCCTCGTAATGTTTTGGCCTTGAACAGTCCAACATACTGACTTTTTAAACCTGTGCTCAATAACTTCTTGAGCATTTTAATGTACGATATAGCTTAAACACTTTCGTTAAACATGCAAGAAATAATACGTTGAAAAAGTTATAACATGCAAACATAAAGACTTCTTAAACATGTCAACATTGGGACGTCTTAGCCATGTGTCACATGAAACGCCGAACAAATAATAGATAGATACATAGATAGATTATGCATTTCAAAAAACTTGCTAGATATATTGGGTTGGAAAATTTCTGAAATCGAGTTTTTATTATTGTTAGGATGGTTGAAACAGATAGCTTTTTTGGTTCATTTGATGAACTAAAAATGCATCAACTATGTTAACTTATTACTATTCGAATGTCAAAGCACACGCTATCAAAAATCTGTAAGGCGCCTCAAAAGTGGCACCAATATTTGCGACTTAGGTTAGAAAAAAAGAAGGCTCTTCATAATATACTAAGCAGAGGCTAGTGTAAAAAGACGAATTATTGAAACGAAAGCATATGATTCAAAAATCACACCAGGCAAAGGCTATTTTAAAAAATTATAGAAAGAAGTCTAACTGTGCTGTATCTGTCGCATGTATCTTGTTTTGACGACGTCTACAGGGGAGGTTGTGGCAGCGGATGCCAGTCCCGCCATCATAGAAGCAGTAATGTGCAAGTCCAGGCCCTCCCCTCGGAACCAGCCCCAATTCAACAGAGTGTGCTTCACGTGGTCATAAGTCGGGATCTAGGAAACGCGACAAATAAGGTTTCACTGCTATACTATTTAAAAAACAAATAAGTGTAAGTAGACGCTAGATTATGCTTATAAGAACAAGATGATCTGAATAAGTACACGTTCCAGAACCAGCGATGGTGAAAACCAACAAATATGAGACCCACAAGAGTTGTTTCAGCTCGGTGCATAAAAGGGACCACATTGAAAATGGGAAAGTGAAAAACATAGCCAACTGACAGTTGGAAAAGAATAATGAACGCAAGAAAACTAAGAAAAAAACCTTCAACTTTTGAATTTCGAAGATGGCCTTAAAGCTCTTAGAATTTGTAGAACAATTTATGATGGACATTTTTTGTTAAAATTAACCCAATTTGAGAAAATTGGATCAATAGGCAAAACTTTAATTTCGCTGGGAAATCTGATAATTAACTTCCATTTTCGAAATTAGAAGTCGACCACGTTTTACTTGACTTTTACACTTTTGTTGTTCGATAGTGGAGTTTGCCTTTTTAAAAAAGGAAATGCACTGAACTTGAAAAGAAACCACAAGTCAAACCGCGAAAAATCAAAATTAAGCGTGAACTTTCAAGACTTTTTCCCGAAAAAAAAACAAAAAATCAGCAAGACATACTAAAGTACTCACTACAATCATTACTCTCGAAAACTTTTTCTTATCATTGGTTTGAACTTACTAAATCATTATGTATCATAAATGACATCACAATTGTATAAGACTGACTTTACAAAAAACGTGCTCCTTTCTTCATGATGAAGCAACATTTTTCAGATGCGACATCTAGCCAAAAAATTAAAGTAGTTGTAAGAAACATTGAGGTTCCTTTTCATGGTCCAGTAGAGGTTTTTCACAGTAACCTGAACAGATTGCATGCAAGTTTTTTCCTGCCTAGTCTAACAAAAGCGTCTTCGACAGACTATTAACCTGTGTAGCAGTGAGAATGGTAGCTCTCATTACAGTTGGTCCCACTCCTCTATACAGTCCTTTCAACCCTGCTTCTCTGTATATACTAGTGAATGCACCTAGAGTGCTCTCGTACACGGGTTTCTGATGAAGAGCTGTACTACTACTACTAGTAGTGCCCCCTTTACTGCTACTCGTACATGCCTGCATTCTCACTTTCACTAGATCTGTTGGAGTGGCTATCGAGCTTCCTATTGCACCTGTACCAACAACAGAGCCCTCAAATCGCACAATATAAAATCATCACATTAAAATAAGGTACCAGATTCCTAAGCAATTAGCAGAGAATTTTCCCACCAAGGCAATTCTGGAAAAAAATCAAAAAAATTAATTATATATTGCGAGAAAAAAAACAGCCAAATCAATGTTCTTTACCGCTTTCTGTGATTACGACAATAAAAATCGTTTTCGAAATATAAAAACAAACAGTTCAAACAATTTATAATTGCTTTTTAACAAGCTAGATTTGCAGTTCAACGCTTGCGGATTCAGTTAAACTTTTCAGTGAAAACGCCTTCAATTTGATAATAAATCAGAAACCGATGAGATGCAATTTAGCATAACCTACAAAATAGGTAATCTAACATGGAAACGACACTCATGTAAAACAGAAAACTTTCATTTCAAGCTTTAAAGCATTATTGATTTTATCAAATTTGTCTTGTTATAACATTTGAACCAAAATTGTTGGGGCTTATTTAATATTTCTACCTGAAGTCGCGCCTGCGCATATCTTCTTCCAGAGAGGGGTGTGTGCAGGGTCAGTGGCTCCCAGCAGTCTCTTTATGGGCTCATATGCACCCAGTCTGATTGTACTGTAGCTACTCTCCCGCATTAGAGAAGCCGGTAGACTGGAACAAATAGATATTAACGGCATTCTTTGCAGAAAAAGAGACAATAGACAATTTGACTTGAGATTGAACTAGGAGAAACCAAAAACTATTTTAATTTTTTTCACAAAAAAAAGTTAGTTTCAAAGCAAAAAACATATCTCTTTGAATTTCCGCAACTTTTATGATTGACAATTTTGAAAAAATATAATCACAAACTTAAACAACTGAACCAAAATTTCAGTCTCGTAATCCCCCGGAAAACAAAAAAACCTAAAATTTCACCCCATCCCCACATTTGAATTGAAGCACGTTTTTTCCTCATACTTTTCCTCGTAACATAACGCATTCAGCCATAATAATACGCATTCGGTCATAGTAAGAAAACTAAGAAAATGGAAATGCGGGGAAAGTGAAACGAGCCTACCACTGAAACTAAAATTTCTGCGAGGTTTATCGCGCTAATTCAATGTCTGTCATTGGAGAAAAAAATTTGCCTCTAATTTTAAAAAAAAGCTTTAAAAACTTAAAAATAAATCAGAAGAAAAGAGGCTATAACATAAACTCGAGCGTGATAGCGTGAACACCACCTAAAAAATAACAACCATACGACCTGACAAGCAGAAGCGGATTTAAGGGGGAGGGAATCGAAGTCCTCTTCCCGCCTGAGATTCGACCGCCTGCCGACCCAAAGTTCCCCCTTTGGTACTTTTTAAGAAACCCATTTTTGGCCGACCTACCCTAAAATTTTGCTAAAGGCGCCTTTGGCGGCACTATATACTAATTTTGAAAGAGAGCGCGCACCAAAACATCATTTTTCCAAAAGTGCCCAAATTTTGTCCAAATAGGGTCTTTCTAATGTTCTGGAACCGCTCGTAAATTCTATTTGGTCGAACTACAAAAAGGGTCGAAAAAAATTTGAAAATCCCCCTCGATTAAATCCAAGATCCGCCCCTGCTAACAAGTAAAATATCACTTCATTTTTGTCCCGACTTTCGAAGCAAGTGACCGAATATTTGCGCTCGGAATTGTTTTCTCCAGACAAGATTCGTAACACTTTTTAACAAGCGAACTTTGAGGAAAATTTTTCAGATCATTCAAAAAGTATGTGTCTTGAGCTTAAATTTAAACCTGTGATCATTTTTTGAAGAGTTCTGGGGTTTTAAAGTTGCCAATTAGGACAATTGAGGAAAATAAACGCACGATAAATGTCGTACTTTAAACGCGAAAGCTGAGATTCAATCCATCTTAGAAATCGTTCCAAATTGAACTGAGGAATGGTACTTGGTATATTTAAGACTTATTGCTATATGCGAAATATATCACTTTGCACTTTAGGTAGCGCGCGTAAGTGTGGAGGTGATTTAGAAAAATCTCAACACTTTTTATTAGTTTCAGATTACAAAACACTATGCCCTATTTTTGCAAACAAATTTTCCTGAGCAGAACAAAGAAAAAACACTAACTAAAAAAATGATAACTTACTTCGAATGAAAATCAAAGAAGAAAAATAATTTTAAACTCAATTTTTTTATTTTGAGTTTCATAAACCAACTTCAAGGATCTTCAATGATTCAAGCTTTTTCGAATGTAAAACTTAATTTCTACTGAAAAGCCGTGTATTGTAAAAATTAAAATAATTTCCATTTTTGAAACATGAAATCAAATTCCATTTAATCTCAAAGAGTACCGCAACTTACCCCCTGAATTGGCAACTGACCTCAGGTGAAATGAAAAGGACATAAAAATCAACATAAAATCTCCAAAAAAGCGCTCACATGGCACACTATGCGGCATACAATAATACCAACGCCGCTAATTCAAAAAAAAACATGGAAAAAATTAAAATTATGATCCCCATTGAAACGAAGCATAATGAGGCGACTAAATCCATATAAAATCAATCAAAACTTTTTCGGTTTCAGTGTTTAGAAAAAATTATAGAGAAATTATAACAAGGATAGCCCCGGTTACTGTTCAAGTAGCGCAGAATGTTCGACAGTTTTTTTTTTCAAAAAAGCGTAGTTTTTTCTGCTTCGTGTGATAAAAGGATCAGACAAAAAATATAAATTTAGGTATACTAGACAGTGATAGTAATACAGAAAAATTGTACAAACAATTTTTTTTAGAAAATAGACTAGAAACTTGAAAAAAAAAATTTAATTTTAAAGTTTATTGAAGTTTTTCGATCCCAAAAAAGCTCAAAAAATCCAGAAACTAGTTTTACTTGCTTAAAATAAACTTTTAAGGTCTTAAATTAGGCATAACTCAGCCGTTGTAAGCATGCTCGCTTGCTTTATTAGCTCAAATTAATACGAAAAATCAAAAATTTCAAACCGATTTTTCTCGACGCGGGGAAAATTTTTTAATGTGGCTCGAATCACGACTGAAAGGGCTTTACCCAGAGGCAAAGCTGCTATTCGCAAACACTTGTGAGAACACGACCAAAAAGCAGGTCTATCAAGTTGAATAAAAAAGTAGAATTAAGGCCCGAATTAGCAAAAACTCGGCTACGTGTAGGATTCGAATCTGCGACCTACTGCAATCAAAAGATTTCGAGTCTCACGCACTATCCCCTCAGCCACTCAAATTTAACAACCATCAAACCCTAGTCAAGAATAAAGTAGCTACATATGCTTACAAATTGCCAATGCGATTCAGCACCAAATACAAATAGACTCAATTTTGCAATTAATAATTTGGAATATAACAAACTGAAGGCATACACACTAAATTTGCATGTAACAAATCGTTAAGCATAAAGCCACATTATGCATAAATTAGCGCTTTCAAAAATTGCGAGACATTGAGTTAGAAAAATTCTGAAATCGAGTTTTAATATTGTGATATTTTTCGAAACCAATAGTTTTTTTCGGTTGATTTGATGAATTAAAAGTGCATCAACTGTGCTGATTTATTACTATTCGAATGTCAATGCACATGCTATCAAAAAGCTGTAACGGTGCCCCACCATTATTGAGGTGCCGCACCATAAAAGTGCCGCACCAATATTTGCGACTTCGTTTGGAAAAAAAAGAAGGTTCCTACTAACATGCTAGCTTCGCAAGTGTAAAAATGATATATCATTCAACCCAGTCCGATGATTATTTTGGGTACCTAATTTTGCGTGGAAAACAAATACAAAAAAACTAAAACACACCCGAATACAAAGTTCCTCTCGGAACAAAACATCGGAAATTGGTTTACAGCTACCATAACACAAATTCCGGAAAAAAAAGAGAAATTAAAGTTCAGAAATGCTCAAATATGTCTATTAGCCAAAAACGCCAGTTGAGGCGAGCTGATTCAACAAAGTTGCTCTAGTGGCAAGTTAAATTAGTAATACGTAAGAAAAATGCAATCCGCTCAATCAAACCAAAAATTCACAAAAAAATGTTAACTCTTAGCAGTATATACTTAGGCACAGGGGCGGATCTAGTAGGTTTTTCTCTGGCGGATTTTCAAAAAAATTTCCAAAATTTTGACGACCTTTTTTTGTTTTTAGGTCGACCAAATTGATTTTTCGAGCTCTCCCAAAGCACTGTTTTGCCCCTACTTCGGCTAAATTTTCTGCACCGCAGGCAAAATTTTGAAAAAACAGTCAAAACAGGCGTTTTTAGGCACTTTTTCGAAAATTTTCACTGAACAATTGCGTTTTTTCGGCGCGAGCTCCCCCCTCAAAATTAGTAAATATTGGCGCCAAAGGCGCCTTTAGAAAAATTTTAGGGTCGGTCGGCCAAAAGTGGATTTCTGAAAAAGTATCAAATCCACCCCTGCTTAGGCAGTTCGTTATTCTGGCTTGGAAAACAGACAATTATGTTACTGATAAGCTGAAAAAAAATCTTTACCCCTTGTAAAATCCACGAATTCCTTCATCTCTGAGAATGGACCTCAAGCCACGGAGCATCCCTTTATAGTAGCGCTTGTCATCTCTTCCTGGCACAATTGTGCCCTTGGTTTTCTTCAGCTCATTGTCTAGTTGCAGTCTAATTTTGATCACGTCTATAGGATTCGTAACTGAAACAAGTCACAGCCCAATCAATTATATTTAAACCAAGTTCCAAATTAATATCTAACAAATTTAGTGACATATGTTATATATTAATTTTAAAAAATATCCAAAAACTTTGCGAGTCTAATGCAGGAAACTCTCTGCAACCAATATAACTTCTCTAGGCAAAATATTCATAATCTGTCAAAATCCTGGATTCAAAACTGTTAGTAAATCTTTCGTATTAATTTGAAAAGGGCGTCAAACTTACTGCAAGCTGCAGACATGTTGGATGTTCCTGCGAGCGCAAAGCGCACGATGTCACTCTCGGTTTTATGAGACGAAGTCATGGATGAAAGGCGAGAAACAAAAAATGATTCACCGGCGTCTCCTCATAGCTAATCACACTAGCTCAAAAAGCACTGAAAAGTGCTCGTTTCTCAAAATCTGAAAATACATCAGTAAAAAGTGTTTTCTGCGATTCGCAGAGGAGTCATAGTCCATTTGGATCATCTCCCACATTCCAGACTGAGTTGTTTTGTAAGGCGAAGCTCTTTTTTGACTCAATGCCGTTTTTTGCATCTAGAACTTTCAATAGTACCACCGTTTTAATGTTTCCAACTTTGAAAACTTCAGCAGGTTAATGTTTCACACTTTTTTGAAGAAAAAATCAAGCTATGGGTACAATTTATATTAAACTTATAAATCTACATAAAATTTAATCATTATCACCTTGAACGAAAGATTCGTTTCAATTATTAATAAAATCTTCCTCCGTGTCCGACCAAAAGTTAACATCTTCTAGCTCGACTTGATAATTTGTCTGTTTAACATTCAAAATAAATTCTTTAGATTTAAATTTAGCACCAAAAAGGAACTGCAATCTGAAACCACCAGGTAGGGAGGCTAGAATGCGAACAGTTTTTCGCCACTGTGAAATGCTTTCCTCGTCGTCCGAATTTAGTTGAACCATATCTTCAGAGGACCCCAAAACAATTGGTAACTTCAACTGGTAGTCATTCTCATCTGCTACCTCGTTACTCGGGCGACTCCCACATAAAGAACTAATTTCTACTCTGAATAGAAAAGAGCATTGGTCGTTTCTCACTAACGATTGGAGATCACAGCAAATTTCAAGACTCATTACAGCTCCGGAGTCAAAGTCGATTACACCTTTTTCAATCTCACCATTTGATTCAGTTGATATTTTAACCGGGACTATATAATCGAAAAACAAATATGCGCACGGGTCTTCAACATAATTTGAAAACAATTTTTCCGGAATGTAAACACTTGCTGGACAAGCAGTTTCTGACTCATCTGATGGTGTCCAATTTAGATTCAATTTTTGCAATAACTTCATCAAAATTGATTTCTTATACAAAGGTACATTTTTTGAATCTACTTCAAGATCATTTACGCTGAAGCCGAACTCCGAAGGGTCAACTTTCTTCAACAAAACAATGATTCTTTTCACTGCAGTTGGTTTAATCTCTTCGTTATATCTTTCAACATGTAAATTAACATCAACGTCCATTGAGTTTCGGATGGACATACAAACATTGAAATTTTCTGGTTTATTCGCTGGCAAGAAACTGACAGATTCTAACATAACTGAAGGCAAAACCTGCATTTGCAGAGTAAAAAACGGAATGGTTAGACCCTGGATAACCAGTTTCACAAATGACCTGAACTCAGAGGGAACGTAAAGTCCAGTTTTATCCAAACTGACGCTTGAAGCATCAAATTGAAACTCTACTGGAAATACTTCACCATTTGTCAAGGTATTTTTATCTTGCTGAACTGCAAACATTTCCGCATATTTCGAAATGGTGGACAACTCGAAACTTTCGATGTCTTTCAACGCTTGCAAGTAAACAGTGACTTTCTTTTTTGTGCCATAAAAAAGAGTCTGATTCAACAGAAAGTCTTTAGTTATGAACTCTTTCGAACGTTCCAGAGGATGCTGCACATTGGACCCACTTGACTGATGTCCAGTTTGGTACCAAAAGCACTCTAAGTATGGAATGTTGAAGAGATGTCTAGTTATGAATTTGGAGTTCTGGTTGAACATGACAGTACTCGAGTATTTCATTTCTTCCCACAGAATGCTGTAGCCTTCGATAGTTACCTCGCCTGGTTCTTTCAACCCAACTACAACGAGAAACTTGCAGTAAAACAATCATATTCATTTACTGGCTAGAAGCATAAAATATCTGCGCACTTCGTTAGATGCTGCAACTTTTTAAACTAAATTTAACCAACAAAAACTCAATTATAGCAAACTGACTGCAATATTTTGTGCTTGGAGTTTTTTTTTGAGCCAACTGCTACCTAAACAGTACATAAAAATAGTTGCCAACAAAGCCAGACAGTCCGTATTAAGGCCAAGCATTGCAAGTTCCAACTGCCCTTTAACTAGTCTCGAATAGATTTTGGCAATTTTGATCAACTAATTTTGAACTAGGTTTGCTTTTTTGTTTTCTCCCCCAAACAGCCAAATTATGACTTTGAATGCAAATTTGACAACCTAATTTTGAATTTGGTTTGGTTTTTTCTCCCCCAACAGCCAAAATATAGCAGTACATGGTCAATTTGAGCCTTTAGTAACCAATAAGGCCACTATAAAGACGATGATACAATTATTAAAACCCAGTCTGAAAAAATATATATTAACCAAATACCATGAAAATGCATTGACAGACACAAAAGAATGGTTGGAAGAACGCAAGCTGACTTTGAACTTGGATAAAAGCAAAACAAAACGGAATGAGAATAGAACATTTACTCAATTTTTAAACATCTTGCTTTGCATCTCGATAAAAAAACTGGAATTGAAAGACCACGTTGAAGTTGTTAATACATGGTTGAATAAATTTTGTGGAATCATCTATCCATTGCGCAAGAGTTTAAATAAACAGCAACTGAGTCATTTTTACCAAACATACGTTAACTGATTATGATTTTTCAAAATAGCTATTTACATACGGGTCGACTAAGAAACCCAATTTTGACAAGATTTATCGCAACACAAACAGATTAACTAGAGTCGGAACCTTCAAGAAAAACTAAAAAAAAATTTAAAAAAAAAGTTAAAAAGCTTATATTATACGAACTCTGATAACTTCAATGAAAATTTATTTGCCATGAATGCAAATCTGTGACTCTTAGAGAAACAATAACACCTGACGGAGTCTTCAAACTACATAAAAATCAACCTGGATCAAAAAAAAGTGATTGCAATATCAAGAAAAATCAACAACTGTCCCACTAATCTTGCTCCTGCATTTATTGAAATGATTTACGAAATGTTATTGAAAAAAATTAACAACTTTCTCCAATATTTCTAGGGACTACAAACATATGAAATATTGAGCTGATAGATTTATCATTCTTATCTTTTCTCATAGTATCGCGTCTTCAATGTTTACTTTCTGATAACAATTTGTCGTACTTCTACCAAAACAATTTATTGTTTTCGATATTTTCGAAAATGAGTATAGTGAAAAAAAAAGAAAAATGTGGTACTACACCACCAACTCTATTAAAAAATTACTTTTTGTGCTCAGAGACATCTGAAAATAAGCATAACTTATTTCATGAAAATCTCCAACATTGGGTTCTTTTCAAATGGTTTTTAATTTTGAAAAATTTGATAAATATCGACCTATCCTGGAAACAATTAATTAATATTAAATTTACTTTGCCACAAATCAGTTTGGAAAGATTTTGAGCGCGAAGTAGCCAACACGCTAAGCTAATTCGACCTCACGCTGTCATCATCAATCTATGCATTTTATAAATCACTCGTGGGTAAGCAAGGTGTGTGTTTGCGCGTGCACAGGGATTCATTTATTATATCACTCCTCCTAAAAGATTGATCCAAAAAGATAGATGTTTGGATAGAGGTAAATGTATACAGTACCTGCCCTTATGATTGTAATTTGGCCTAATGGCTACGGAGAAAAAAAGGCAAATCAGGGGCCAACAAATAGAATCACGTGGTTTCTAGATTTGCAGTTCATTTCCCATCAGGTGACTGATTTACACACGAGCATCTTTATTGACTGGTCTAACTCGTTTTTACTTTCAATCGAGGCTCCCTAAAACTAAAGATTATGAAACTTTCGACAGAATGAAACTATGAATTGTTGTACTTCAAACTAGTGGCTTTTTTGTGTAAAACAAAAATCAATTCAGACAGTGCATCATCATTGAGCTGTGAATTTGGAGATTATCAAGAGTTATCAGGCATGCTTTGATCAACTATGATGTATCAAATCAATTGAGAAATGTTTATTGAATTAAAACTGGCCTCAAAGTCAAAGAGATAAAGGTTTATCAGGCCCAATTGATTAACAATCAAAGATGAATTGACGAATTTCTACTGAACAAAATAACAATTGAATGACAAAGAATTAGATCTAACTTTTAAAAAGTTCAGTCAAGTTGACTAATCTTTATAGCTGTATTAACTACTTTACGATAACCTAAAACAGCGAATTGGGTTCAAAAATCCATACGTTAACACGGAAGCGCAAGTTATGAAGTACATTTCTTTACATATAAGAGCAAGAGATTCACTTAAAAAGCCAAAAATTGCGAGCAAAACGAGCTGTCCACTCTACTACTAATTGATCGGTAAGTAGCTCCATGAAATAGATTTCATCAAATCCTGCAAAAATGTGATGTAAAAATTAGCTAACATTTTTTCAAGAAAAATATTCAAATAAAAAAAAGTCGTTTTCCAAATATATTTACGAGAAATAACGCGGTAAAAACTTATTGAGAAAAGTGTTTCTGCATTAACAAATGAATTGTTCAACAGCTAAAACTGACCTCACTGAACCTACGTGGGCGAATTTTAAAAATTCTATAGGAAAACGACCAGAACAAAAACGAGTTTCGAATTTTACATTCATTCTCGTTGTTTGACCAATCAACCTTCTTCTTCAAATCAACATATATGCGACTATTTATTTAAAAAAAACAGAGAATAATTTAAAAAACGGAATTCTTGGATCATCGAACAGAGGCGAAGCTTCGCTTCGCAAACACATGCGAGATTACGACAAAAAGCAGCTCTATAAAGTGCAATAATAAAAATTAGAAAAATTTCGGCTACATCTAAGATTCGAAAGTGCGATTGTGATATAGAGATTATGAGTCTCGCACACTAGCCTCTCAGCCAAGAAAAGCTTACTCGCCCGCAAACACTAGCCTCAGGTAAAGCAGAGAACAGATGCTATGCAATTTGCAATACTACTTTTAATGAACACTTATTTGCGAGTTAGGTTTGAAAAAAAAGAAGGTTCGTAATAATACTCTAAGCTGATAACAATTGTAATAAACATGATTTCAAAAAGCTTGCTATAAAAATGATGGCTCAGAAAACTAAAAATAGCGTTTCAGCCAAGTTCCGCAATCAAAAATAATATGAGTAACCGATCAATGAACAGTAAGCACATTATGTTCTGACTACAGCTATCATTGCAAACAATTAGATCAAACGTTTTAATATGAGACCATTGCTCTATCGAGTGATAAAAACCTCTATCGAGTGAAAATCCATTGCTCTATCGAGTGAAAATCCCACCCTACGCCATAATTCCTTCCAGTCACTAAATAACAACATGAGAATCGCAATTAATTATTCAAAAACGATAGCAAAAGCCAAAAAAAAACCATCTTATGAATCAAGAAACAGAGACAAGCAAAAACATCCATGAGCTTAAACTTCACAAAACAGCAAATAAAAAAAACATTCATAAAAGAAACTTAGAGCCGACAAGAAGTACATTAGTTTTAAAAAATAGATTCAACATTTGGTCGGGAAAAACATACTGGTCTTTGTGACACTGATCTGGGATTTTTGCGTCAAGTCCTCTTCAGAAAGAAATAGTAGCGGAGTAGCCAGAGCAGACTTGTGCTAGGCTACAAAGAGGCCAAGCGGTTAAAGGCAAAATGGATAGCAGATATTGCGAGAAGAGGATGTCAATAAAGATCTGTGGGCTGAGAACCTGGTCGGTGTGCTTCGATTTTCGCCGGCTTAGGATTGTCACGTTCAAGAAACGTTCGTCCAGAGTGGTTGTTCAAATAACAAATCTCGTAGTATTGTGAGGAAAAGAGATTCTTGTGAAGAGATAGTGGTAGAAAACATTGTTTGTAGGTGCTCGTATTTTGTGCTTGGATTGTAATAGACTGTGGATAGAAGTTGCGCTTGCTGCATATGACCACGCTAAGGCTGCGAATTCTACGACTGTTCTGAACTTTGCTTTGAGCGCGGTAAGCAGAGCTTCCTTACGTCTGCAGTTAATTCCCGCGAAAATTTTCAGCACTGTACTTCTTTTCTCGCATTTTTGCAGTGGTTGCAGTAATTTAGGAAAAGGTATAAGTGAAGTCGGAGTTTTTTGGGGTGGTATTCGCGCGATAGTTTTATATTTTGGATTTTGACTGGGAGTGTGCTTCAGAGCCCTTTGAAACACTGGAGAAAAGACTGGTTGAAAATCTGGACGAAAAAAGATCCAGGTCATAGAGTCTAAGTAGGTTGAAGGGGAGGATGAGGCTTTTGAATTTGTGCCTTACGTATACATTGAAATCGTCTCCGCATGGTAAATCTTAATGTTCTTAATTGGCGGGGATGAAAAGTGCGGCGAGAAAACTAATCTCTAATGGACTCCGCAACGTGTTATCAAAGATCAAAAAGAGGTTATCTCGGAGAAAATCACCGGAGCTCAAGTAGTTGCTCAGCCATCGGCAGATTGAGTCAGAAAGAGCTAATTTATGAATATATCTATAAAAGTATACGGACCAACGCAGTCAAAGGCTCCAGAAAGATCAATACTACCTACAATTCCGGTTCTGAGTGAGAATCTTTTCAGGTTGAAGCTTCGCGAGATGATTGACAAAATACATTGCACGGCGGAAACCAGGTTGTCAGGTGTTTGTTAAAAAAGAATTTTTCAAAAATATCATTTTTATGACTGGGCTTACCAGAGATAAAGAGCGGTATTTTGTGGATAGATAGGTGATTTTCCAGTTTCGCTAGTTGCAATACGGTCTCCGTATTCCCTATAGAGGGTATTTGTCCAGACCGAAGACTTAGGTCATTCAAGTGGTTTAGTTAAAATACTTACTGTGAGCCAGCCTGTCTG